TGGAACACAAAGGGCCTGCATTTGAAGTGAGTCTTGGACCAGAGAAGGAGAACTTTCTCTAGGACTTCTTGAAGATTGTACAGTACTATGTTCAAGAACTCCTGGTCCAAGACTTAATCCGAACCTGTTGAGCTGGAGCACCCCTGGGATGAGAATTAGCCGAGGCGGTCATTCCTCCGGCAGGAGTGAGCAAAACAGGGTGAGGATGACTCCAGACTTTCAGTTGAAAGGACTAATGCATACCCTGACGGTGCTCACATGTACTCGCCTGATATTAAGGAGAGCCTGGACACCTTTAAGTGTGTTATGCGAGCGAGTATACTGTGTATATAATGAAGACGTCAAGTATGCATAATGCCACGATTTGTACCAATACCTATACACCTTCCCTCGCACCTAATCCATGCTATATTATCAATAGAATCCGCCAAGGCGTATCTTTCTTTGTGTAGTCGACAGGCCTACAAGCTTTTGCCTTTACAGGTCATAGGCTAAGCGGGATGGATGGAGCAGTTAAATGATTCTGATGTAATGCGACGCACCCGCAGAACGAAAGCCGTGAGGCAGCGTAGGTCTGCACTGACCACCGAGCAACGTGAGAATATATGAGTTAATGCCGAAAGAAGAGCTGAATGGAGGTCGTATAGGGCTGCGTTAACTGCAGAGCAACTTGAGGTTGTTAACGCTACGCGGAGAGCTGCGCATGTACGCGTCTAACCACTAACTCATTCTCGAGCTGCGGTGACCGGGACGCCCAACGTCGTTCCAGCCGTTCGCACGATCTGGGCCCTATTAACCAAAACGCTGTTATGGGGAAGATGCAAACGCATGCGCAGTTTTCCCGAGTTCATCAGGCAGCATAACAGCGCAAACTTATATACAGTACTTCCTTCGGTGCGACGATTGTTGACAATCCTAGTAACGGTCCATATGGCTTCAAAATATACGGCGTGGTCTATCACCTGGCTACGATCAGCCCACAACCTTTTATTGATGTCGTTCCTCTGCTAAATCAAAATCAGCAATCATCGTACGCTCACTCAACGTTTACGATACGGATGAAGCGGTTCAAATGCAACGGCGGAGGAAAATTCGTTGTTTTTTCATCGACGGACCAGGTGGCTCTGGTAAAACATTCCTGTACACCACGCAAGTCGCAAGGCCTTCGACTTGCCATTGGATCTGCTCCCGCATAAAATGTGACGTTTATCGCGCAAAATTCAGGCGATGATTCGAGCTACCGACGTCATCATTTGAGACGAAGCGCCGATGGCGCTTGCCGAAGCACTGGCAAGGATCGAACGGACGTTGTGAAACTCGATAGACGATGACCGTCCATTCGGTGGCAAAGTAGTTGTGCTGGAGGGTGACCTTCAAGTATTGCTGGCCGACCGCAAAGCATCTCGCTGTCAAATCGTCAAGGCTAGCACGAGAACGAGCCCGTTGTGGCCATCCTTCCGAACGATTCGTTTGACCAAAAACATGGTGCTACTGCAAAAGTTTTTTTTTCGTTTTCGTTTTGCAAATTTCATATTTCGTTTTGCTCGATGGTTGCTCGATTTGGGCAGCAGAACACTTCTGCGAGTACATGGTAGTCGATCTGAGCTCTCCGTGCGCTTATCCGATGATTGCATCTCCAATAATCTGGCGAACGAGCTATTTGGACAAAGGCATAGGGTCTGCGATGCCGAAGTGAACAGCAAGCGCGTCATTCTGTCCTAAGAATGAACACTCCCGTTCGGTCGACGAGGACGTGTCGTCTCCATCGGAAAGCGAAACGAGGACTCGTCACGGTATCGACACTGTTAAGACCGATCACGGTGATGATCGGACAGGTCAACTTTTCGGTTAGATTCCTCACCACTCTCCATCCTCCGGATCTCCTTCCGCACGCCCTAAACCTCAAAAGGATGGAGCTATCGTAATACTTCTGTGGAATCTCTCGACCGGGAACGGCCTTTGCAACGGCTTGCGTATGATCGTGAGAGACACGAACGCAAATTTCTTACAAGTTGTAGTGGTCACTGATGCGCTTCGCGGCAGCGTTCATTTGCTTCATAGAGTTTGACTGGATACGACATCCGACGTCAGCATACCGTCCGATCTTTGGTAACGTCGATTCCCTATCGAGCTTACCTACGTATGAGTATAAACAAGTTTCAGGGACAGAGACTAATCGGACTAATATCGGGTGGCCCAAAAAAAGTTCAGAACTTTACACGCCTACTGACGGAATACCATGTGAGCTATCGACAGGACATTTGCATGGTTTCACATCCCATGTGTGCCGGTAATGTCACAATAACTTCAATGATATTTGTGGTTAAATTCCTGAGCAACAGTTTTTCTCCCGCGCGATATCAAATTCGCGAGTGTATTAAGATGTGCAACTGCCGTCAATGAAGAGATGTTTCAACTGGTCTTCCATTCTGGTCCACAAATGCTCGCAGACGCTTTTTTCCATTGGTTGATTCACCTTCTTATGATATCATATTGATATGATATGATATTATCATATCATATCATGTTATCATGTTAGATATGATGTCAGATATGATGTTATCATAGACAATTCTTCAATTCAAGCAGCACTATCCAGAATGAACATGACGGAGATTTTTTCTCGTGGATTCACAGCGATTGAAGGTAAATCAAGGGAACTACCTGCAATTCTTGGAGAATACGTTCTCTCAATGCAAACAGTTGGACTCAAAATCATGACTACATCTTCATGCAAGATAGTACTTCGCATCGTACCAAAGGTTGGCATGAATACTAAAAGAATAACACTCCCGACTTCATTTGAGAAAATCAGTGGCCTTCCAGTTCTCCATACTTAAACCCCCTCGACTACAGCACATGGGACGAATTGATGGAGTCAGTTTATGCTGAATGCAACACCCCCTTTTACATTACTTGCTGAACTACAAGCTTGAATTGAGGAATTGTGACCTCTTGTCTATGATAACACAATAAGAAAGTGAATCAACCAATGGAAACAGCGTCTACGAGCATTTGTGGACCAGAATGGAAGACCCGTTGAAACATCTCTTCATTGAGGGCAGTTGCACATCTTAATACACTCGCCCATTTGATATCGCTCGGGAGGAAAACTGTTGCTCAGGAATTTAACCACAAATATCATTGAAGTTATTGTTACATTACCGGCACACATGGGATGTGAAACCATGCAAATGTCCTGTCGATAGCTCACATGGTATTCCGTCGGCAGGCGTGCCCTTACGAAAAACCCCCATGTAGTCCACCGGGGGACTATCCAAATCCTCCGGGGTATCTGCATGTGGACTGACAGTTAGCCATGTGGAATAGTGTGGACTGTTGTGGACTGATGTGGACAAGTCCACAGGGGGACTAATGTGGATATAAGTGTGGACTCTATGTGGATCCTCTTAATCCACATGTGGAACAAATGTGGATTCATCCAAATCCTCCGGTGGACTTAGGGTAGTCCACATGTGTGGATTTTCGTAATGGTGTAAAGTTCGGAACTTTTTTTGGGCCACCCGGTATTTCTGGAGCCGGTATTCACGCATGGGAAATGGTACGTTGCCAGTTTGCGAATTCGCTCTAAGGATTCGTTTAAGATTCGGGCTATCGATGGACCGAAGAAAGGCAAAACTGATGCATCGCTGCCGACAATGTGGCCTGTGAATAGGTATTTCTTTGCTTGTCGAGTCCATTTGTTGGGACTATTTTTGTTCATTATAAAATAAATTTTCCGTTTCTTTCCCGTTTCTTGATCTTTCATGGTTCCTCCTATATTTATTCACTTTAAACATGTCGAACAAATTTGTCATTTTTTATTTTTGCACATACTGGGAGGTGTAGCCCACTGTGCCTCGGCATCCACCTCTTTCATGCATAAAAGTTCCATCGTGAATGGGATCAAATTTTGGCAGCGGGAATCAGGCTAAGGCTTTTCTTAGTCGATGAGTCGGGACAAAAATACGTATATACGTATAAGTCCTTGGGTAGAAGGCCGCAATTACGGCCACAGGCCGCTAATTTATGTATTTTGTAACGATCCTGTTTCGAATACTCTTCCTAAGCGAATGGCATCATAATGCGTGCGGTAAAATCTGTGAAGTGCACAGTGCTGCTCTGCGAGGGGTATATCGGAGTCGAGCCACCATCACGGTCATTCTTTCGAATGATTTATCAGTTCAGGGAATTCAGTTCTGGGGTCTTATTTCCGGGTGGCTTTTTTCATAAACCCGTGCATCCCCTTCTCTACCAGGAGCAGAGACCTCACATTTCTAAAGTTTCATCGAGTTCCACCAGGGTGAGTCCACTTCGAACGTCTGAGAATTGAAATGTATGAGCACTGAATCGAGATTGAAACGTTTTTATTACATCTCGGGCAGATTCAACGCTATTGGAAACACTAATCCGAGTTCGAAACGTTGTTGTCAAGCATTCTATTAAATCCTCCGGCTTAAATATCCCATCATCCGTTAGCAGGACTGGAATTTTTGGAATGGTTTTAAATGAATAAAGCCTGGAATGGTACTCCTATTTATTATCGGGAGGTTATGTCACACCTTATGCGACTGGAACTCGGATGGAAACGGAGTGCGTGAAGTACGAAGACGTTCAGTGGATAGGGTGTATTTGAGATTTTCGCTTCGGATCGGAGTGTTCGGAAGGCGAGGGGTAAGAAATGACATCGCTTGCTTTTACATGTCGATTCACGAAAGGTCACCGAAAATTCTTTACTATCACTAGAGTCGACAGTCTTTGGCTCTTTCGACTCGATCTCACTCTGGGGTCATCTCTGACGGTCCCATCACGAAACCGAGGCCGAAATGAGTGCTTGCTCCGTCGGTCAGTCACGATTTTGGGCATCGGCTTCTTCGACTCGTGGAAAACATGCATACGGTCGCGTCTTCGTACTAGTCGTGAGTGCTCGAGGAGACATGGGTACCAAGGTGGGCAACCACAGCGTGACGCATATCATGATGTACGCTTTTCAAAATTTCTTAGATCTCGCATGCAGTAGTCGGACCGAGAGTGGAGAAATCTTCTCCGAAGAGCGGTCCGGTGGAGTAGATGAATGAATTTCTGCAGTCGGTTCGCAACTTCCTGTCGTTTCGTTCATCGTCGCTTTGCTCGTTGTCCGAATGCGGATCATCCATCGTCTGACGGCCGCAGGCATCTTTCTCATGCTCCAACTCCACCATACTCTCCAATGGGTGTGGGTTTCGTGAAAAGATCTCGACGATCGCATCGACGTCCCGATGCCCTTCGACTGAAGATTTTATCCTCGGCATGCATGCGAGCTGTAGTCGCACAAAGGTGGAAAGGGAAGTGGAAGAAGCGATTTGACACCTTACGTCTTTTTTCTGTCTGCTTGTCCAACGAGTCGGTGAGAGGCGAAAGGCGAAGAGGGACAACTACGACAGCTAACCGGGACATCGGAATGGAAACGGCGTTGCTCGCCGGGGTCGGGACTACGTTCCCCCTCGCATTCACCAGCCTCTCCCACGTCCACGTGTAGACTCTGCCTGCATAACATCTTCACTGTTTCCATATTCTTTTCCTCCTCGTTTCCCTTACGGAAGAATCTCTTAGCGATACTTATGAACGGTCGAGGTATGAGAGTGCGAGGCGACCGGGATCTCCTCTCCTGATCTCTCCTCCTTTCACCACTCCCCATCATCTCTCGATCGTCGACTCGTCTCGACGGATTAACGTTTCCAGCGCTAGCAGACTTCATGGAGACCGATCTCTCCCCGGACTCCACACTCTGATCGCTCGTAGCGCTTTCGGTAGAGTATCGCTTCAGTAGATCTTCGTCTCCTTTTAACTCGTCTCGATGACGACAGCGAAAGCTACCTGGAGCGTCTCCATCGGGGCCAAGGGGAGGAAGAAGCATCCGGGAATAATGGGAGCGAGGACCGGTTGGACCTCGGGCGAAGAACTCTTCCCTGGCTCGACGAATCTTCCACGCCCGAAGTCGGTTGGATGGAGATCGCCTCACGATCGGCAGCGGCGGGCCGTTCGGTGTCCAACGCTGAGGACTCAGGCTCCTCGTCTCCTCTTCTGCTCTGAGTGTTTCTCGCTCCTTAGGCCTGGCTCCCATCACTGATGGTCCTATCTTCTGTTGGGTATAACCTCTCTCGTTTCCCAGGAATGGTCTAGACCGATCCCCATCGCTGGCGATCCGATCGTACTTGGCAACCATGAGTCGGACGTTCGGCGCGGACTCTCGAGCTGCTTCCACGAGCGCTACTCGCTTCGAAGACGACGAGAAGGAAGGAGAAGTCGTTAGAGGAATCTCAACGACCGAGAAACGATTCCGCGTCCCAGTCACCCCTGTCCTAGGGGTCACAGGACTCAGCACTTCCGAAGCCGAACGGGATTTACTCACGGGTACAGCAGGCCCAAGGCGATTCTCGTCGGGAGCGTTCTCCCTGGTGTCATTCACCACCCGTGACACGACCCCATATCTGGAAGGTGAGAAAAGGCGTCTTGTGGTAGGTACGAGGACGGACGCGATGGCGTTGGTCTTCATGGCACGATTTCTCGTTTCTTTTAACGGAGGAGTCAGGCGAAGTTTCGCGGTCCTCGTTTCAACGTACTTTGGGGCACCTGAAGATGCACCCAGGTAATCGGTGAAGTTTTCACTACGCTGTGCCTGGGCGAAAAGGTCGAGTCCAGTTTTCCGCTGTCGCCTCGAACCTTCCATGTGCTGGAAATCTTTATCCATATCCGAATCCTTCGAAGTCTGTAAGGATTCTTCCGGCGAATCTCCACTGCTTGCCTTGAAAGTCTCCTCAGACGCCCCCGACACTTGCTTGTCCAGTTCGCCCTTTGGTAACAACCCGGCATCAAATGAATCTTGTCGACTCAACTTCCTCGGATTCGACACCGGCCAGACAAGAATATTTCGAGCTTCTGGGTTAACGTCCACGTCTTCGAGATCCACGCGGTCAGCGACATCGGAATGACTCGTCGATTCCCGTCCGAGTCCTTCCTCGTCGGAACTCTGCAGACTCGGCGATCGAGTCCGATCGGAGGTCGAGGTCGAGACGATGTCAGACGATCGTCGGCGTGCAGGTACGGATGAGACAAAACAACGATCCACCTCCTGCTTCTGCTCCGAATCACTGCTGGAGTCGGATCCATCCTCCAAGAGCAGCTGTGGCTCGGCGATATCCTTCCGACGAGGGGAGAGAGTCAATGAGAAATTCACTCTGCACGTCTCCTCGGACTCGCTACTTGTGTCTTCCACTCGTGCTTGTCTTGCTAGACTCTAAAAATATCCAGCACATCCACGTGACGGGTAGAAACAAATAATCTGCAGAAAGATTATTCTCTGTAGCTCTTAAAAAATAAGTAAGTTTTTCTCGTCCGGGGGCATAACTTGATTCGTCGTATCTCGATATAGGCCATTATGGTCCATCAAACGCTTATTTTTACGCATAGCTGCTGCATGCCAGTAGGGGATCTCGATCATAGGTGAGTAAAGAGTGGGAAGTCCTCATATTTACTATTGATAACATGTTTGGATAAAGCATCAAGCTGGATGCACTCAACTTCAATACTCAAAGAGACGTTTAATTGCACATTGAGCTTATCTTCTCTTATAACACTTATGTATATGAGTTGTCCGTGCAGATTGAAATGAATACTTCTACCTGAAACCATTTTTAGTGTGAAAAATCTAGGAAAAAGAGGGGAAATGCAGAATTCTATAGAAGTGATTAGTATGTACCATCGATACTTTCACTGTTGAGGCAACCGAAAATTGGACTTATTTTTTCACCCATTCCTTGGAAGAAATGGAAGGAGGATGCCAAATGATTTTCACCAATACTCGCAACTATGAGAAACGTGGCATATGCTGGGTTTGGAAACGTTTTATTTAGTGAAAAAAATGGTATAGAATACATCTGAATGGGGATGGAGAAGTGCTGTGAATCTCAATGGATCCATTTAGAGAAGTCTCACTAGTGGACTGGGTTTAGAAACTCGTCCTACACTGTAAAAAATAATGGTTCAAGAGTGAAACTTTTATAGAACCATTTTCGTTGAAGAGATGATACTGATTCCAGGAGTTACTACTATCTTAGATCGTTAACGAGGCAGAACATAAATGCATCGACCTAGGACAGTTGGACAATCACTCCAACTGGTAACTATTACTCACATTTAGTGAAAAACGGTTCTACGGTAGAAAAGTAAAGGTTCGGATTGGAATCATTTTCGGTGAAACATTTATAGAACCATTTTCGAGGAATCAAGCCTACACGAGCTGAAACTGCTTAACTCTTGGAGTTACAAGGATCTGAGGACTTTGACACGGCAGATGATCAATTCTACGATCTGAGACATTCATATGATCACTTCCACGAAAAACTAGTAAGTGTAGTGCACGCCAGTGACTAATTGCCCTTTTCCCGTCAGGCTCCGGACTCCGGTCCGGGGTAGGGTTAATTAATTGCTACTCTCCGCTACCCATGTCCCTTCACCTGTAGTTGTGACAGCGACAAGTGAGAACTAACGAGTGGCCTTCTCATAATCTACGACTTTGCCACGATTCCGCTGTCAAGAGGGATCAGGGGGTCAACCAATTTCCCCCAAATCTCATAAGACCATTTTTGGTATTATCCCTCCTACCTTCTGACCGTGACGTGGATGGACCTAAAGAACCCTATATAAACTCAACTTGGAGAGGAGGAAAGGAGGGAGTGACGGAGGTTGGTGAGGTGTTCCAGACTTCGCTGCTGCTGATCATCAGGCGCCGGTTAGGGCCCCTGTTTGTAATTGAGCCCCTTGCTATTTCTACTCGGTTGGAGCCGAGGAGCCTAAGTGCTGGTCGGAGCCAGACTTAGGTGGATCTGGTTGGTGCCAGATTCTGTTCCCGCCGGTTGGAGCCGGGAGAACACTTAGAAATAGCAAGGACGAGATTTGAGTGGCTTGTGGAGGGTCGAAGCCCGAGCAACCCATTCCGATTTCGTTGATTTAGCCGTGATTGCCGCCAATCACGAGTCTTCGCGAAAGTGCTGCATCGAGGGGGTGAGCTGAATCTGTTGTTCTTTGAAAGTTAATTTTGTTGCTGTTCATTAACTTCCCTCTAACGAAAGCTGCTCGCTCGCGAAGCTGTGCTGAGGAACCCTGTATATTCTTTTGCTAACTTGTCGAACCAGAACCTAATCTGTCAACCGTAGATTAGAATAAAGAAAATCTGTGAAAAATCCCATTCTGTTGGAATCCTTGCCTCACGGCTACTGATTCCGTCCGACCAATACGAACCATCCCAAAGGGGCAAATTTCTAATATCCTTTCTTTTTTATTAATATTTTCTTGTTTCGCGACGGTCAAGGTAGTTTGCAGGTAGCTATTTAAGTACAGCCAGTACGAGTAAATACTACCGGCCACGCCAGACGACCGCGTGCGTTACATAAGCAAAGATCGTGAAAAAAATGGTTCTAGGGATCATAAAACCCAGATTCTTGCCGAGCCCCATTTTTAATAGTTCAAGAGCTACCAATTTATTATTATGCGTCATAATGTCAAGTAGTTTTCGAAGTGAACTTGAAACCTTTCTAAATGGTTTCTTGATCATCGAAAACCGCTCTGAAAGCTGAGGGTTCTAGTCCGAACCAATATTTTTTACAGTGTAGGGAGTTCATTTGCCCTTTGGGCAAAACACTCGCAATAGTCGTGCATTTGGCGCTTGACGACCTAAGGAAATGAATTATTCAGTTTAACACGCGATGTCTGACTCAAAAGAAAGAATACCGTCGATTTTGCTAGGTGGAAGGGGGGGGGGGGGGGGTCGTCATTCCGCAAAAATCGATGCAAAAAGTTTGGGTGCAGGATGGGTAGGGTGGAGTCTGAAACGCACGAATCCGCAGTCTTTTCGTTCAAAGGAGGATTTACCCATCCACCCAAGACGAGAAGGCCCAGGCGATGGTCATTGGTCGAAACTCATAGATTTACTAACATTTACTGCGCAACTCAAGAATTGGACCGAATCGATTGGTTTACAACCTGAGCTGAGGATTTTGCCATTAACTGTGGGCTGTGGGATCAGACTCTCACTGCCATCGTGCTCCGTTTCAATGCACTGATCTTGCTTCTCACCAGTTGATCACTCAGGCTCGAGCCTTCAGATCCTGGCACAGATTGTTTTCGCCGCATTGCGAACTCAGCCCGAAACATCCTGAGGCTATCCCTCGGCGATATGCTCGGATTGCTGGAAAGCAAAGTGATCAGGAAAGATGTGTGCTCCGGAGAGAACACGGTCTTCCTACTTTCCTTGAAGAAAAGGAGTAGCACTTCACCAGAAAGCCATTGGCTTGAAGGCTTCGCGCGTCACGCTAAGGTAGCATAATTCTAGGCCAGATAGGCCGAAAAGTCACTCGATGCGGATGGGTTAACCATGGCTTAGATGATGACCACGAAAGAGGAATCTGGGCCGAAATCTGCGAGACCTCCTCCCTTTCCCCCTTGTTTCTTTGAGAGGATTTGGAGAAAATCCTCAACTAAAAATGTTCCGGAACCAGCGAAGAGAGATACGCACAATGGCACTACAGGTAGTTTCGGGTTGGTAGCGATTTTACCGGAATCACTCAGGTCCTCACCATCTAGCTGTCAATCTTCGACTGAGCGAGATATCGTGTGTTAAATACTATTGATGTATACACGCAAAAAAATTGCATGTTTTCCCGCACTATATGACCTCTTAGTTTGCACTCGCAGCGCATGCTCATTTCGATTTCAAGGCGATCAGTCGCTAAGACGCATTCTACCTATAGGTAAAATATCTCAATGACGTGCAATGCTACTTATAGCCAAAAGCAATCCCGCATTTCATAGCAGCTCCTGGAGTTAGGTCATGATGTCGATTTCTTTGCTTGTCCTCCAGGCATTAATGTGTTTCATGCATTTTAACTGCTTAGTCTCGTTTGTTATGTTTCAAGGTACCTCTGCATGATTAGTATTAGGCATGACAAGTATTAAGGCCATATTTCCCCAACAATAGGGGTAATATGGCCTTTTTGGAGCAGTTTGGAAAGGATTTAAATGCGCAATATCCATGTATTATTGGCATGTGCCATGCTGGGATTGATTAAAGGAAATATCAATCTATATATTTCAAATACTGGCCAAGTCAAATACGACCTTGATAGGTCGTTCAAACCAGATTTCCCTTTTTAGGGCCATATTCCCTCAAATTACCCTATACACCATATTACCAAAAGTATTGGAACAAAGGACGCTATGACACCGAACAATCATTCCACATTCAATTTCCGTCAGCTCTGGCTCCCGCGCTATCTGGCAAACACTGAGTGTAACAGATCGCAGAAAACCTTTTTACTAATATACCATTGGATTCAGTAATGTCCTCTAGAGAGCAAATGACCTCTGGGAAAATCTGTTATCGGTGGAGGTACGAGTTGCCCCAGCTTTATTTAACCTGTTTGATTCAGAATGTTATACCTTTTTACCACTTCTTTCAGAAACTATCATGCTATATCTTGCATCCTTGATTCCGAAGAACAGCCCTGCTCCTTTATTTCCACTCTACCAGAGCTTTACGGAATATAGAGACACACGATATATCTCATTCCACACTGATGACTCTCCGCAGTCCACCCCAAAGTTTTGTGGCGCCGATTCTCAAGGGCACGCTTCACGAATCCATGCGCACGGAAACCCAAACCTTGTTTAGAAAACTATAGCCCTGCTATTCGCAGTAAATAAGCAGGCCATTTCTGCAAACAGAAAGGTACAACCAAGTTTCATCGATCGTCATAATATCGAGGGGGGTCGGAGAGAGGGGGGTAAAATCTTGCGTATAGGATGACGTCAGCGAACCGTTCCGGCGGAGCGACAGGCGCTTTAGCCTAGACAACTCACTGGCTCGCCGGTTGAGGCTTAGACAGGTCGCACGCCCTCTTTCTCTTGTCTCGCACAGCCATAATAACATATACTGGCGTTTGTCTGATCTAGGCAGCATCGTACAAACATTGTTACAGTTTTTCCCAATTGCTAACGTCCGTTTCTCAAAACTACACTTCCGTTTTCAAAACAATTTGAACAAATCCCTGAACTCTGCAATCTTTTCACAAAACTTAACATCCGATTTCATTGCTAACGTACGAAAAGCGAAACTCGAAGTGCGATTTTCATATCTTCACGGACTTTTTTCGAAACTTAACGTACGGAAAAGGATAAGAAGGCCGATTCGACGAGCGCCAAGGATGGATGCATGGCTGACGACTACAATCCATTGACCTATACTCCAACAAGTCCCTTCCGACCAATCACAAAGATTTTCTCATCGTTTAGAGTTGTCAGAGCTAAATGCGTCGTCTCAAACGTTGAAAGAATTTCTTACGTCAATGCAGAAATGTAATTGACAAGCGATAATGCTGACTGCGCTTTAGTAGTATCCTAAATACCTGATCTTGAGTATTTACTTACGATTAATTTCTGTTACTACCAGCTAAAAAGGGTTGAAAAGGGAATTGCAGCCCGGAGTTTAGCCTCGTTGGCTGCTTCAGGAGTACGTACGTCGTGCATGGGTGAAAATTGTTGCTTACTGCCTTGAGCTGATCACATCCGTTAGCCATTTTATGGTCATTTTTGTTTGCCATGGGTTACAAAAGTTGTATGACCTTGGGGCCCATTTTCATTCATAGATATGAGTGTTAATTGCGAAAATCTCATGTTATGATCGCCAAATCTCTCCAACCTAGGCTCGCTCAATTGGCTCGTAGAGGAGTTTTCGACCAGATGCAACGCCCTGCACTCTTTTTGAATGCTGACGAGGGATGCATATTTTTTTTTGCAGCCTCCTAGGAACATACAACCCAGATAGGATCGTGTCTTATTGGTATGGGAAGCGATTTCTGCCATTTTTTTAATGTATAAAAATGCATGTTTTTACACTTTTCTCAACATGTGCATATTTATGCATGTTTCGGTCATTTTTATTAAAAAATTAAGAGTTTTCCAACAATATGTTTATTTATGAGCAATCTATGACAAATTTCAGGCTGTTATGCTCTGGCTGGAGTGGTAAATCCCCCGAAACTCTGTTCTAAATCCATCCGCTACCACCATCCCTCTCGAAGAGTTTCGAAAAATAGACTCTGTTCGTTTCCCTTAGCCCTCCATTGGCGAATTCCTGACTTCGACGCTGGTTGTCACAAGAATAGATCAACTATACTCAGCAGAGGCATGAAATGTACCTTGAATTTCCTTCACCTGAAAAATTCGTACTGCGTTTAAAAAAGTATGATTTTGCATATTTTCCCATTTTCGTGCGTATTTCATGCATATTTTGCAAATTTTAATCGCATATGCATGTGCATATTTTAGGGCTTATTAGTTTATAAAAATCCGCTTCCTAATGACATAAGTCAAGAAGTGACTTCTCAAAATAAGTCTGACTTTTTTACGGTGTGGAAAGGAAATGGGAAATGTGGGAAAATGGACCCAACAGGCAGAAACCGTGATCGCAGAGGCATCTATTGTGGTGCAGAAATGTGCAATTCCCCGTTTAACGAAGGCGAGAGGGGAAGAATGGGAGGGGGGAATTTGTGTGCTTTCGAGCAGCACCTCCTCCAAATATCTCACATGAAATCATCTCTATGGGCTGTTGGATGGCTTTCATAGGATTAAGTCTGCATTGACTTTACCTGGTTAATCACTGTTGAAACACCCGGCAAATACATATCCACTCGAGAACCGAACCTATATTGTGTTAGTTGTCTGAGTAGACGTTGAGGACAAGAGGTCCTCAGTGTATGATCTGCAAAACTGTAAAAATAGTTCATGAACAAATTTCATAGAGAAATGACTTCAGTTTATTGGCACTAGCACACCATCGGCCAGATGTAGCGCCATTAATTATATTTAAAATTGTCATACAGCATACGTGCCATACGTCCTTTACCGAAACAAACTTTCTGATAGAATACATTGCTGGTGTCTTTTAGAGCGAATTTAAGGCACTCGCGTCAAAACTTAACGTCCTTGCCTCAAAAAGTAACGTACGCTCCATTGAAAGACATTGGGGATGTTCTGGTCGGTTTTGCTTTGTATGGCTGACAGGGCGGGCATCGATCCACGAGACTCCTCGCCTTCCCATTCACAGCAATGGATCGTCCTTTGAGTTTTGCCGATGGTGCGCTAAGTTTTGACTCCAGGTACGTTAGAAATTGATTGTAGGACGTTCTGTTGTCCCTTTTGGAGAGCGGAAATTGAATCTTGACAGCAGTACGCACAGTTTTGACACGGGTACGTTAAGTTTTGAAAGTATTACATTATCGCCTTTCCGTATTCGAAGGAATTATTTTCCCGGTCTGCTTCTTGGCTGTCCATAGACGTTCCTAACCCCGTACGTTAGAATATTGAAGAAAGTACTTTCATTTTGACAAAGGGACGCCCTTTTGACTGCCGGACGCATAGATATGAGAAAAGAGCGCAGCGTTTTGCGGATCGTACGTTAAGTTTTGAAAAATGTCCATTGAGATGTGAAATGAGGCTTTAGCAATTGGGAAAAACTGTAATATGTTCGTTGATTTCGATCGTATTCCTTAGTTTCCTTAAGGTTCCTTATTTTTATTCGTTCTCTTAGCGTTAATCACGAATTTCGGGGCATTGGTAAGGTTTGCATTGTCGCATCCTGTAAAAATATTTCTAGGAATCGACAAGCAGAAAATATTTCCTTGCATGAATTTCCAAAATATCTTCCAAAATGAATGGCATCAAGCGCTTGGAAGAAAATTCATCTCCAGATATGCTTTTGTGTGCTGACATCACGACTCTTGGATTCCTAAAAGAGAATCTATAATAAAAGAGAATCTGTCCAACGTCACCTCCCACGTTCACGTAAGACGCCATATCCCACATTCATGGACTCTGACGGTGCATTTCAACTAAAGGAGAACCAGTTGGTCTCATCTTTTGATGATGAAAAATTAAAATCACATCTTCATGCCTACCAGAGCTCTTTTAGTCTGAGGCACCAGGACGGGGAAAGTACAGAGAGGGTGAACTGGGATCGTTAGGAACGAAAAGTGAAAAACTGCGAATTATGGTGACTGGAAAAGGATTTTCATGATTGCTCCGATCTGATGCGAGATGGCTGGAGGTCGAATTCACACAACCCATCCCAAAGAAAGGTTCTTTTTTTGTCGTACAGAGCTTTTCCTTATGTTTCAGATTTCGCGACACAACTATGCACGATCTTCCGTGTCACCGGCTCGCTTCGCTACCGTCTACCTACACAAAATGCCCTTCGTTCCGAGCCGTTCCACCCCAAAAACGCGTTTCTGCGCAGATCTGAAAGGGGTTTCTCCGACCCCCTTTTCCATAATATACTCGTACCTTTCACCGGTCGGGTGGCGCTAGCATAACTTTCAGGCATTCGTATTCCTTTCCCTGATGTAATTTGGGTCGAGGACGTGGACTTTGATCTCGTGTTTTCCTTACATTTTGAGATCCTCACGAATGACCCTGCCGATGGTTCCCTTGGATACCGGCAGTCGACATGCAAGTAATTTCTTGCCGGGTGGATTTTCCAAATCCGCAAAACGTCCGGACGGAATCCGGACGAGACGCTGCACCGGCTCGTCGCTTTTGCGACGTGCGCCGACTATCGGCTGCGAAGTCTCCCGGTCGTCGGATCGTTTGCGAGGAGACGACGGAATTCCATCCCGACTTCACTCCGACCCGTCCTTCCTTTCCGGATGTTCCAAGGAATCGCGTTCGCAGGGATGAACCGCTTGCACGCGTTAGGGTGCGAACAGTACACGCGGAGCAATTCCACGAGTTCCGCATCCGCATGCGTCCGACGACGTTCAACGACGACACCGTTCGCGATACGATCTGGAAACACACCCACGTACGGTCGGTCGATGGTTTCGACGCTCGGAGCGAATGCGTTCGCACTCCCTTCGCTCTCCTTCGTATGGCATCGACATCGATGGCGTCCGACTTCGCGATCGCGAGGGCCTTTCCGTCCGATTCTCGGCCGATCTCGCAAGAGCAAAGGTTCGGGCGATCGTTTTCGAGCCGAGGGGTGAATTCGCCGACGCCATCGCCGTCGCGACGCGGAGAACAGTCGGAGGCGTTCTCCCTCGAAGGAGATGCCTCGTCGGAATTCCTCTCTCTGTGGGTTGCACGTGGAGCATCTCTCGGGAAGTGGAAATGTCTTTCGCACCCGGAGGGATTCTCCATTCCCTTCCTTCGCCTCCTTCTGCAGGCTCATCCGTCCCGTTGCGTACTCGCACCGGCCGTACGGTACGTGATATCCTCGTCGCGACTCGACCGGACGTTTCGGAAGGCTCGCGCGCGAGGAGCGGATAGAGAAAGATTGAGAATCCACGGTCGTCGCTCCGCGAGGTCGCGACGGAAACCCGAAAGCGGATCGCCCTTCTCGGGGAATCGTAGAGCGGAACGCGACGAAAAAGTGCGACGGGTGCTAGGCCTACCTCTCTCCCTTCTCGCGGCCTTCCGCACGCAAGGAACGGCGCCATCCATGCACGACGGCTTTTCGACGGAGACAAAGGATGTGGGCTTCTCGCTCTCACCTGCGATTCCTCCTTCCGTCTCCTCGAGTCTTCGTTCGTCTCTTGGGAGCGTTCGGCAATCCCTCTCGTTCTTCCGGTCTCGATCGGATCCTCTAGGAAAGGGTTCGAGAAGAATGAACGGAAGATGCTCTCTTCGTTCTCGCTCTCGTCGCGGCCGGACCGGCCGAGAAACGGCGAGCGAGCCGACGGTCGACGGCATCGGATCCGACGAAGACGAAAGACTCACTGTCGACTTGGGGGTCCTTGCCGTTCCTCTTCCTTCCCGAACTCGTCGATTCTTGCTCCGGTCGTCTGCGAACGGAGAATCGATCGCCATGAGCTCACGGACGCTCTCAAAGCCCAGTGGAAAGAGTCAACGACTCGACCGTCGGTTGGACTCACGAGCTCAGGTATGAAGGCTCCTTATGTTTTCAAGACTTTCAGCATAAAGATGTGCCTGGATGCTTTGGACAAGATGTCCTTAGTGTTTGCGTCCCATCTTAGGTCTGATTGAATCATCACGCCTATGGGGGGGGGGGGGGGGGGGGGGGGGGGGGGGGCCGGAAAGATAGAGAGAGAGGAAAAATACGAACGCTGCCGTTAGTTGTATCCGTCGCCGGCGTGGTGTCCTCGCGACTCTGCGGTTATCTGCCACTTCCTCCACGTTCTCCGAGAGGGCACCCGGCAGGCATTCCTCATCTGCGGCGAGAACCGATCGCAGTTTCCCGTTTCCCGTGTTGAAATCCGCGGGTCTGCTCGACTCTTGTGACCCGCTCGGCGGCGAAGACGAACGCTGGATGCGTTCGCGCGACTCCGATCGGGGGTCGCAAGAACGGAACTCGCATCCCGGAGTCTCCTCTGCGTCCATTGCCGACAGATCCGGCTCGGATGCCGCTCGACCTACGGAGAACGATAAAGCGCGTTCGGAAATCCGCGACGTCGTTCTTTCGAATTCCGAGCGTCGCGAACGTTCGAACCTGGATCGGATTCCGCGTCGGCACGAAGCGAGAGGGTCGAGTTTGGGTCCATCTGAATGGGTTCTGCGACGCTGCTCTCCGATTTGGATCTCCCCATGCTTTGGCTCGGCACCGACAACTCCTTCATCCGTGCCGCACCGTACTGTACCGAATCGCAAGGAAGATTTCGTTCTCGCGTGAGAGAAGCCCTCACGCTCGGAATCGAGGCGACCTCGCCGCGCGACTTCGGCTGGGTTCATACGGAGGGAAAATGCAAAACGGAAAGACGTAGGTTTCTGTCGGCACGAAGCGGAAACCACCGGCCGGAGGCGGAACTCCGTCGTCGGAACGAGCGGAACTTCCTTCGAGGTAAAAATGACAATCCGTCGGCGAATCGGTCCGGTCGGATCGCTGGAGAAAGACTGAACGGAAAAGGAAAGATATGGATTCTGAGAATTCGATCGTGGGAGTACGGAAACGTCGCCTCTGTACGACATCGGATGAAAGGAGCATAAGGAGTACGTCGTGAAGGAGGATGTGCAGGAAAATCTCGGGAAAAGTGCCACCTTGCCTCATTTGAAATGTACCTCGAGTCTGCCAAGACCAGGAAGGAGGTCGAAAAGAATGGCTTCTTGGAGGCCTTCGAGTCTCTCTTTAGACTTCTCTTTTAGAGAAGTGTATGGCGAGTGAATGAAATCATAAATTTGGCGAGTGAATGAAATCACATTTGAATGCCATTGCAAAAAAAAAAACTAAACTCGTCAAATGGGTAAATAATCAAATCTGCAGTCCTGGAACTGTTGATGGGTCCAAGTGCTTTTACGGTTCCGGTCCGAGAGCCAGCAAATCCAGAGACGTGGACTTTGCAGAGGAAGTCGCATCTTCAAACTTTACCTCTTCGAGCAAACCAAGTCACACCTCCGATCGTAAATTGCCTTCCGTCTTCCGACGGCGACGAAGGAACACGGAAACTCCTGTTTTCGAGCTTGACGACCTTCCGCAGCGTCGTTTTCGCTCCGTTCGAATCGACCTTTACGGTTCGACGAGGGCTAGCGAGGAAACGGAGAAGGTGGATTCGTACAGGGTAGTGCACGGTTACCTTCGGGTCTGCGAGAGGAAACAAAAGCCTCAGACGAACGACTTCGAACCGATATCTATTCCCATGGCAGCCTGGGAATGTGGAAATTCTAGGACGATCGCACGGGTCGGTCGCTCGTGGAAAATGACGTCACCGAGGTAGCCGCCATTGCGCTCGACGCATTCTCGCGCACGGTCCACGACGTCGAGCACGACAAGCTGCGACATCGCGAGGGGCACCGCGGCTTTTTCTTCCCGTATGTGATTTTCCAAAGCCTCCAAGGTTGCAGGGCGTGTGTCGCGAGTCTTGCTCTTCGGAAACCCCCACGGAAAAAAAAACGAGGAGTCGTTCGGTCCAGCGACCGCGACGGCCGATGAGGATCCCCCTACTGGATATCACGCACCCGGGAAACGATCTGCGGAGGACGTTCGTGTTTTTTCGGGCGGTGCGGTCCGTCGCCCCATCCCGTTGGAACCGCATTCCAGGAGGAAGGCCACGTCGACGAATTTCCACGTCCGAAAATGACTGCAAAATTTGGCCGTAGCGTGCAGCGTCGACAGAAAAGGAAAAACACGGACACCGAGAAGTCGATCGTGGAGGTACGGAAGCATCCGCTTCTGTATGACGTCGGATGAGAAGAGCATATGGAGCACGTCACGAAGGAGGATACGAAGAAAATGTCGCGAAAAGTACCACCTTGGCTTGGTACGGCCGATCGTTCCATATGTGCACGCAGTACACCACACGTTCGGTTTCTCGCCGCGTTATGGCCGTTCGTGGAGTGAGTGTGGATTTTCTGCCTCTCGATATCGGCAGTTTTGCTCGTTCGCCCGGCCGCTAAACTCGAAACGTGCCTCGTCACTCACGAGAGGCATCTCCGGAATCTGCGGATCGCCCTGCACCGTGTGGAGGAACTCCGTGCAAAACTGCACGCGTGCACGCTCATCGTCGTCTCGGATCGCCTGTACGACTTGCAGTTCGTACGGGTGTGAATGCAGTCGCTCGTGGAGGATCCGTACGACCGATGTCCGCTCCGCTCCGACCGTCTGGGCCGACCGACGCGTCGATCTTCGGGGACTGCGCCGGACTGCTGCCGGCACCGTCGCCACTGCCACCGGTGTACGGACCGACCTCGGGAGCCCAGGTGGTTGCACGTCGCGGACCGAGCCGGTCTCGCGTCGTTTAGATGCCCAGGCCGTGATGGTCTCGTCGGAGGGGGCATCGCTCCTGTCGAGTTCACGTTCGAATGCCCGCTGTGTTTCCACGAACGACTTCGTTCGGACGAAGAGCTCCACCGTCTTTACACCATCCTTCACCGACCATCGCTCCGTTGCCGAATGAACTCCAGGATGATGTCGTTCGTTAGAGAGAATCGACGTCAGAAAAATGCATCGCAGACCGCCACGAGAGGAAACGTATATCTCTGAGGCATGTATGCACCACCCTGTACACAGCAGGAAATGCAAATTTCAAAAGAGGCAAGGTGACACTTTTCCAGATATTTTCCTGCGGGTTCTCCTTCGTTACTAACTCCCTATGCTCTTTTCATTCGATGTAAAGGGGATAGATTTACACTTTCCCCAACAAAAGTGCCGTATCAGTTCCAGGGACAAGCCGTGGATAACCCCTGTAATAAAGCACTTGATCAAAAAGCGACAGGCAGCATTCTATAGAGAATCAAGTGAGAAATATCAACGGTTGGTCATCTTGGTGAAGAAGGAAATATCCGCTGCTAAAAAAGGGCATTATCGCAACAAAGTCGGAAGCCTGAGAAAATCGGACCCAAGAAAATGGCACAGGCAAGTTGCAAACCTCTGCGGTCTAACCAAGGACTCATCCATCTTCCGTTCGATTCCCGACATCTCCACCCTAGATCCTGCCAAGGCCGCTAATGTTATCAACCGGCATCTCTCTGGACCGTGTGCAAC